AGTGAGGCCAGTAGTGCTCAAGGCACAAAGCTGGAGCCAATTCAGGGGGTTGAACAACAAAGAAACAATCCCTTGCCCAGCATTTGGTTGTGTACAAATTTGCTCAGCATTCTCCCAGTTCCTGAAACACACAGCACAGGTATGATTACAGTAACAGGGATCCACACTCTAAATTAACATGAATGAAAATATGTTGAAGTATAGTAGCTCTCAGCGGCTTACCATACTGTAATGGCGTGCTCTGGAAGAGCTGAACAACAGCCTAAATAAGTACCACCTTCACTTAACGTCAGGGATGTGTAGTCCAGTTGGGCTGCCCCTACAAAGAAGAATCAGACAGCTCTTTAGTATTTATTGATAAAGAATATAAATACTGGTAGTTTGCAAACCCAATATATCTTGAAAGAACATTGACGTAACATAATAGATCAAATGGATCCTCATCAGATGGGATCAGATTAAGGTTGTGTTTTTATTTGGGGAGGAAATATCACCTTACCTTTTAATTCATTCTTTAAGTGAACCTCTGGAAAAATGTAAACAAATATTGATGGGCATAGCTTTTGCTCAGAGAAAGCAAAAATGCCATTATTGCCATTTGCCGTCAACGCACCAACCCCTCTGCCAGGACTCTTCAGCACACTTTGAATTTGTGTCTCCAAGTTGAGGAAACAGATATGACTCCCACTCGAGTAACATACCGTTGTATTGTCGACATATGCGATACTCTTGTTTGTAAACCCTTGTGTCCAGCTGGAGGGAGTAAAAAACAGAGGACATGAGTAAACCAGCAGACAAGAGTTATACAAAACAGAACGACATAACGAAGCAAAATGGATAGGTACGTTTGTAGTGTCGAAATACCTGATTTCTAAACTTCCAATATCATCCATTTTAAGATAAGAACAAACTCAAACGTTTCACTTTTTTTCTCCGACACAAACAAACCAACGGGACTGTCGTTGCGTATCCCTGGCAACAAGAAAGCCATGCAGGTGGTAGTAACCGGCGTTTCCTGCCATTGGCTAAAGCTGTCGCTGCATTCATGTAGTATTGGGATAATCGGAAATTTGAGCTTTTCTAGTATTCGGTGGCTTGAATGTTGAAAATGTCTGATAATTAAAATATTGTGAGGGAACTTTTCGGCTGGTTAAAACAAAATATATCCTTGGTTGATGTCCAATTAGAGCAACCTAGTTTAGTCGTGACAGTAACGACATTGTTTTTAATGTTTTCATGGTGTTTCCACATTACGTTTTGAAGCGATACATTATAGCTCATGAACGCACCGCAGTCGGTCTTTCGAAATTGGGGAACTCCGAGCATCTGAGAAGCACGTGAATGCATATCTGTGTGGTAAATGGAACGCAGCATATATAAACCCGAACCCCGGATGTAAGGTTCGTTCTTGTCGGCTTTCTTCATTCGTGCCATTTTTACATTGAACTTATATACGACTTCAAGCAAAAACATGTCTACTGAAAAGTGCTTCGCCAAAGGTAAGAGTACAGCTGTTACGAGGCTAACTGGAAAGGCATATTGCAAGCCGCTCTCTGTCGTTGTTTGCTAACAAGCTAAACAATGATAAGTAAAAGCGTTTCACCTATAATCAGAGAAAGTCTCCTTCATTTCAGGGGTTCAGGTGTATTCCATTTCTTTATCACTAAGTGCGTATCGTTAAGTGAAGTATGACTTTAAATAATTTAGGACATTTAAATTAACAAGTTGCCACTTATTATTCAGTCTTCTGCAAGATGAGAGGATGCACAGTGGTAATATTTCTGCACAGTCATCGTGGTTATGCCTTTTGTTACCTCTCTGGCGCAGGTCGTTAATCTAACAGTGTAGAGAATGTCATTTAGCCCATGTTAGATATTAAAAAAGCTCGATTACACTTGAATACAATAAATTATCCTTCATTGTGGAATTCAAACAAAACCTGCACATTATTCTGTTTAAGAAATCTTTAGTAAAAAGATTTACAGAAGGTGGCAAAATGTTGTGATTGCTTTGACTTTTACTTTGTTATTGAAACTGTTGGGTTGTAAAATAATTGTGATATCAATTATCTGTTGAGTACAACGAGTAAAAAAAAAAGAAAATAATTCATCCTGCATCTTTTCTAACATGTACTTTTTACTTTGTGTTGAATTTATAATTGAGATGGTATTATAGGTTCATTTCACAATTCTTCTATTGTTATTTTTTAGTCTATTAGTTCACTCTACTTTGGTTTACATGTTGAAATGAACACATCAGCTAATCAATAAGAAAACATGAGTTATATAACTATAAAAGACCCAGGACAATGGATTGAAAGCACATGTAAAAGATAACTATAGTATGGGAGAAGTGTTTCAAGCTTTTTGCAGTCATTATAACTCATTCATTTGAAAGGTTAGTGAAGGAAACGATGGCCTCCTTTCTGTGACTGTAAAAGGCTGAAAGGTAAGAGTTCAAACAGATTGGATGATAACAAGCCAAACAAAAGGGTGAAAGACAATACAGAGTGACGATAGTGACTTTACATTTGAAGGTTGGGCCATTTAAACAGATCACAAGATATTATACAGAAGCCGCTTGCAGGATCAATAAAGTAAATCTTAATCAAATCACTTTGGAGGAAAAAAAACAGTCTGACCAGTCTGCTGCTGTTTGTTTGTAGAGTATTGTTTTTTCAAACATGTGACAAAGAGTATATTTTTTTCAGCCTTTTGTTAAGTTAAGGCTGTTCACCGTGCTTTTGGTTTGCTTAAGTATAAGTCCAAAAATTATTATTGTAAGTAAACTATTCATGTTAAGGTGTAACTATGCAGATCTGATGGACACTATTCTTTTCATGATAATATTATAGGTATTTGCACACCATTATGGCACTGGTTTGTATTTGTAGACCATTATAAAAATGGTTATGCTTACAATAATAAAGTGCTTATCTGAAGTCTACGATCATAGCAGTAATGAACTGATAATGAGTTTATGACTCCATAATCACTCGTATCATAATGGTAGTTAAAATGGTTTCCTAACCCGAGGTTGGATTTTCTTCAGGCTGGAGAGATCGTGTGTGATTAGAGTATGTTTTGTTTACTGAGTGGGTGATGACTGTTTGCATTTATTTACTGGGAAAAAGGGAAAATCTTTTATTGAAAAAATATATATATATTACTCTCCATAGCAGTATTCAAGACATCTCTATAAATTTGGTGAAAAATACCTAACCTTACGATGATGTAATACTACTCTTCCACAGGTTAAATTAAAAAAACAACAGAGGTATTATCAGAAATAAAGTATTCTTAATGCAGCATGCTGTCTGTTGAGTTGTGTTATACATTTAGAGTTGTTATTGATGCTCTGTGATGGATGTACATGATGAAACCGGTTAACACATCCCATCATCTTTGCTTTTTTTCCCAGGCAGTGCTGCACCTGCTTCAGTGCCCGAAGACCACATCAGACTTTACAGCATGAGATTCTGCCCCTTCGCTCACCGGGCTAGACTTGTTCTGAATGCCAAAGGGATCAAGTAAAAACACATTTTATAATTGTTTTAAACCGTGACATCATCTATAGTCATCACATGGTACCTGTAATCTGTTCTTTTGTTAACATTTGCAAAATCTGTTTCGTCTATTTAGGCACGAAACGATCAATATCAACCTGAAAGACAAACCTGACTGGTTCCTTGAGAGGAACCCCCTCGGTCTTGTCCCCACACTGGAGACCCCTGCTGGTGAGGTGATCTACGAGTCCCCCATCACCTGTGACTACCTGGATGAAGTTTACCCTGAGAAGAAGCTGCTTCCTTCCTCTCCTTATGGTAAAGCTCAACAGAAGATGATGCTGGAGCATTTCTCTAAGGTAGTTTGGTTAAAAAGTTGCATCTGAATACTGGGGATTTGTTTGTACACTTTCCTACTGTTACAGTCATTAGATAATCACATCAGTGACATTGTTCTCTATAGGTAACTCCATACTTCTACAAGATCCCAACTGGGAGAAAGAATGGAGATGATGTCTCAGGGCTGGAGGCTGAACTGAAAGAGAAGTTTGCCAAATTAAATGAGGTAGGTTGCAAAATTCAATGCTCAAAATTGTTAATAGAAATGAAAGAGTATCCTGTGATTGTCTGTAAAAGTTAACCTTTGAAAGTAATGAGTGAAGACTTATCCACGTGTCCATCTATAATGACTGTATGTAGCTACTTCGAAATGACTGTACGTAATGCTGATGGATGCAATTTTTATTTTCTAGGACCTTGTCAACAAGAAAACCAAGTTCTTCGGCGGTGATTCCATCACAATGATCGACTACATGATGTGGCCATTCTTTGAGAGGCTTGAGATCTTCGAACTGAAACAGTAAGTTTTCATCTCTGAGGACATTCACAGAAACATTTTATTAACAAATATATTTTATTTATAGAAGGTTTTTATTACAAATATTAGGTCAAGTACAAAAGTAAGGCCTGTACATTCAAAAAAAACAGACTATCCAACTGCAAAATACAAGTCATATTATTCATCTTTCCTTCACTTGAGTTCAAGTGGTGTCTGAGTGTTTTGGTTCCTTTGTCTTTTCAGCTGCCTTGACGGCACACCTGAGCTAAAGAAGTGGACCGAGTGCATGATGGAGGATCCCGCTGTCAAAGCCACCACACACAGCATGGACACCTACAAGGCCTTCTACCAGAGCTACGTGGACGGGAAACCCAACTACGACCTGGGCCTGTAGGAAAAAAAAAAAACCCTGAAGAATCATTTTTTATTTTATCTGCGTGTTTGTTCCTCGTTAATCAGAGAGGTACTCGAAAGCAAATTGAATATTGCCAATAATTATATTTATTTCTGACCATATCTCATGGTGAAGGATATATGAAAATCACTTACTAACCCATTCTTAAACCACTTTTCTATTAGCTCTTTATTGCTGCAAGTTCCTCATGCAATAAAACCAGTTGAACCTCTGTAACTGAAAGCTGTTGCCTACACTTTTTTCTACAGGTCTGCACTCTGCTTTTTTTTAACAAAATCACTCATTAAGAACCATTATCACTCTCAGAAAATGTAATCAGGAATAGAATAAGAACAACTACGCTTTTTGAGGTGTGTGTGTGTTTCAAAATAAAAATATATTGAAGCAAATCTCACAATGAGTTTACACTGTTATTATTGGACATTAAAGACCGTGTGAGGTAAATATGACTCAAGGTTTTTTCCATTCATACGCTTTTGATGTGGATGTAATGCCACTGGAAACAATCTGAATTTTCTGTCGCTAACAGAAAGCTACATCTTGTTTACCCTGATTCATTTCGAAGCCGAAGCTCCACCAAATTAAAAAATTAAAATGGAAATGAACATTGCAACAAAACAAATATTACATCATAAAGTAGCTGCCATCATATTAGCAAACGTGTAAATATAAACGGAACACTGTTGGACTGTTCTTACATTATTCCTGTTAGACTGCAATAATATCAGAGGTATTTGTGTGTAAATCTTTCTTCCCTGACTAACAAAAGTGCTTTTTCTTTGTCCACGTAAATGGTGAAATGCATTAAAAAGAACTTATCAAACTTCTACATAGAACTTGTTTCTGCTTATTTAGATGAAGTAGTTGTTACCAAACAAGTCATATCAGTTTTGAAGCCTCAAACAATTCTACAGAATTAATTGTACACGGGTTACAATATATCTTTGGAATATGTAGGAGTAGGACCCAGACTGTTCTGATTGATTTTTTTAAAAACAGGACCCAATGTCTAAATGCTGCTGCCATATTGCTTCGAGTAAGTATAAAACACTTGTTCCCTTGTAAGAGTATAAAACAGAAACCACTATGTCTAGATAATGGGCGTATCAAAATAACTTCTGTATGTGCACCTTTTCATCTCAGTGCTTGTGCTCTGGTGCAACATTATTCTTAGTAAAACTGAAAGGCATGTGCTTGAGCTAAAATGAGAGAATATAGAAGACAAAGATGTCCAAAGCTCACAAACATTCATCTCAGCTGTGGTGTAAACCTCCATTTGGTAAGTGAGGTGTGTATTCTTGTAATAGCACGCTTGCATTTCTCAACATCTCTTGAAAATGTTTGACTGTAGCTGCATAAAGCTCCGTCTGCAACACCAGAGGTCGCAGCAGATTGATGGGCTCTGCTCTTTGAATTATTTCAGGAACCCAGACTTCTTTTGGCACTTTACTGTTCCCGATAAGAACATGATGAAGTCTTTTCTCCTGCAGACTCCTCTGCATGAAGACGAGTATGTCCCGAAGCCTGTGCTCTATGTTCTCAAAGCCCCATGAGGAGGGGCTTTTACTCAGCAGCAACAAGTGCAACAGCGCAGTCTTAAAGTGGTAGTTTGTAAATGCACTTTTTCCTGTGAGCCCTGTCTGCTTTCTGTGTAAGAAAGTCACAATCTGTAGGCAGTGTAAATGACAGGAATGTTGTGGTAGGCATTTGGTGAAATATTTGAACAAATTCCTCTCATAGATTGCAAAAGAGAGGGCCCAGTATGGGTCTGGGGCGCTCTCACAATCTGAAGGAAAGTGAGAGACAAAATAAGCATCGGTGTCCTCGAACTGAACCACAGGTATGATGTTCATCACAATGACTTTCCCAGAAGGGAATCGGATCTTTAGAGCCCCCGCTGCATCCAGGTTGCGGAAAGTGACCTCAAAGTCGTACTTGTGAGAGATGCGTCCCCACGCTTTAGTTACAGAGATCTGAAACCACTTCATGACTTGATCTTTGGACAGGAAGGATGTGTTTCTGGAGCAGAGGAGCTCATCAGGACTGCAGTCCACGTTGACGGCGTCATCTCTGCTGTGTAGCAGACAAAGCATGTCCTCTCCCAGATTAGCAGAGCCACAGATACAACCCTCCTCGTTCTCCTTGGTCACCTTGATTTTGCCGCAGCCCTGCATGTCTGGAGGCACGTCGCTGGAGGGGCAGCACCACAGGTGGAACTGAAAAGAGTGCGGATCTGGAGGGGAAAAAGGCACCAGAAGGTCGCACATTAGGGGCTTGCACACCCTCCAAGACTCAAACATGCTCCCTATTCCAACAAAGTCCCCGACTTCCATGTCTGTCCTGTCACATACGCTCCTGAGTGATTCCAGCAAGTCATCAGCAAAACCCTCGACAAACTCCCTCACCCTCCAGTTGTTATGGGCTGAGGTGTAGGTGCATTTGTCACAGAAGTTACCAAGGACATCCTTATCTAGTACCATTGTCCTGGGGGTGATGGAGCCACTCTCTGGAAACACGTCTTCATCCTCTACGGGCCTGACTTCTGTGTCAGCTAGATCAACTCTGCACATCTCAATAGTGAAGAAAATGACCAAAGACACAGCGCTCCAAAAGTACCAACTGTAGCCCTCCTCTGTGCTGGTTTCCTCCCGCTGAGACTCCAACTGTGCCAGCTCTTTCTCCAGCTTGGTTTGCTCCATTTCCAACCTCTCCTCATGCTCCCGCATGCGACCATCATCTCTTCATCCTGTTCTTGGACTGTGGTGTTCTCTCGAGGAAACAGCAAGGGATGGTTTAATATGGCAGCTGCAACCACCATACACACTCGTGCAATGGAACCCTGCATCTTCAGTTTGTTTTCTATTTAAAAACACCTTGCAGAAATCGGTGAAGCTCAGATTCTGAAAGAAAAACAGAAAAAGAAACGGGTACTTCATGAATATGTGGATGAAAGATTTTAAAAAGCATTGCTTTTCAGAAATAAATAAACTCAAAAGTATATATTTTTAAATGAGGCCTGAGACTTTGCGAGCTAGTTAAGGCAGTCAACTCGAGCAGAACTGATTTCACACTTGACATGCTTCTTTCTCAACAATCACCTGACAACACCTCCTTCCAATTAGCGGCCTTTTTTAAGCTGAAAGATTTCCAGTCCCTCCCTCTGCTCCATCACTGCCAGCTCTGGCCTGCACCAGTGCTGCACTCTCAATCAGCCCCACCACCCCATCATCTACCTGTAGGCTCCGACCTGGAGGTTTAAGACATCATGTCATCACTCCTCAAATTTCTGCATGTAAATTGAAACCGTTAGGAGTGATTAGATCGGAGCCATAGACGCCAAACACAAACTATGTTCTGCTGCAATAAACACTTTAAACGATACAAACATGACTTGTCTGACTGAAATCAGAATTATTTCTGTAAAGCACTCTACCTGAGGGGAAAGCACAGTTTGTACCTCTAAATATAGAGGCAGTGGGTTGAGTTACTCACTGGTCCATTATCAGACTCTGCAACTTTTGAGGAAGGAAGATCGAGCCCTTCTCTGATAACCCTTTTTGGTTACTTCATTCTGCCAGTTAACATTAACATCCTGTTCCCAAACGACAAATAAGCGCCCCCACCCCACCTTCTGGAAAATGGTCCAATTTATTTACAAGTGAAACAATGTGGAAGACACTGACATTGACATAGTTATCTGCTTTCCTGGACATCATTGGGTAACTGACATGCAATGCTATATATTGTACAAAAAGGAAATTACACAAGTCTTTTTTTCCCCACAACTTTAGTATTTAGACAACTACACAAAGCTCTAATGGAGATAGGCTGAACTAAAGCTGTCTTCATAAAAACTATAATATCAAAGATAAAAACATGCTCACGGGGACTTTCTGCTGATAACCAGAAATATGAAGTACACATGTACAATGATGTCAGGGTAAGATCACGAGAGTATTAGCTGTTCTCTCAGAGTTGAGTTTAAATGTCAGTGCAGTTAAAGCCAAGTATGTGTGGCTGCAGAGCCAGGGAAACTTCCCATGACTTACTCACTGGGATGCTTTCCAACACTTACATGGCTCAGTCCATCCAAACAAACATCAAGTCTGACTGAGAGGCCTGTGCTGTGGCTCATAAGAATGTATTTTAGACTGTCTCTTGATACACAACGTTAAGATTACCGTCAACTGAAAGACTATCAACAACTAAGAAATAACTTCTTTTTCCAAAGGGGAAGACATTATACAAATCTTAATCTCAAAAAGTCATGTGTTTTAATGCTAAAGACTTGGTTACCTTAAACTGAAAACAACTAATGTGGCCCGGGTTCAAATGCAACCTGTGGCTCCTTTCCCGCGTATCATTCCCCACTTTCTGACTCCGTCCACTGTCCTATTTTTAAAATATAGGCATTAAAAACTGTAAAAAAAAAAAAAAAAAAAAAAAACCTTAAAAAACATTCATGTTAGCAAACCTTTGAACAGATTGTTGTAAAGTTGAATTGACATAACGTAAGGTTCCTAACTTATATTTGCCGCTATTTAACAACATTGAAGTATTTATAACTATTCCATTACATTAAGCACGTCTACATCTATCAAATTAACTTAAGTGAAAAAGTACTTTTCCCCTCTAAAAAAGTGTCAGAGGTGAAGATCAGCAGCACAACACAAGTAAGCTCTAACGTGGAAAGGGAGATAGCATTGTTTAATAACTGTACATAGCCTAATAAAGTAGGTAATGAAAAGAGTAAATAAGATGTACAGTCTACAGTTTTACCCTTGAGGGGGCCATGCTGCATAAAATGCACAATAGTTACAATAAATGCTACATAGTTTATTGTATATTAATTCACTCATAAAAGGTAGCCTACTTTTGTACTGAAGACTTTTGAATAAGATAAGATATACTTTATTCATCCCAGCAGGGAAATGTAGGTGTTCCAGCAGCCAGCATACATACAAACACACATATATACATACATATCCCACTCATACAAAAAGAAACATTACAATTTTGTGACGAAGTATTTCCGAACTGAGATACTTAAACGTTAGCAACAAAGCCTTTTGTACATCGTGTGTGTACGACTTTAAAGTTGTATTCATGAACACAGTAAATGTAAAAAGTAGGTGAAGGTTAAAAACTCGGGGTGTCGACAAAACGCCTCATCCTATGACGTCACTTGTGAAGCGATGTCGGTACCTCCTCGGTTGTCGTAGCAACAAAATAGCCGCTCATCACGGAAATGTGGTGACAAACCTTATTTCCGACAAATTACTCACTTTTTTTACACAAGTACGCTATCAAACATTACTCAATGTGATGATGTCTTTAATGTTTAAAGATAGAATTACAACTGAAAAAAAACACGTAGCCTCCCACAAGGCACATTTCTTTTTTTTGGACCACTTAGTTTGCATGTTCAGCCCCTCGTCGTGATGCAAGTCCAGAAAAGTAAGAATTTAAACATCATACGGTGTAAAGCTTTAAAAACCTTACCTTTGCTATGTTCTCTAGTTGAGTTCATGGTAATAAACTCGACATGTAGCGGTCTCTCTGGTGAGAACAAACTCGTCAAACTCATGAGTGAAACGAGGGAACAGCTTCACAGCTTTCTACACATTTCCTGACTGCGTGCTCCACCCATACAACGAGACACCGCCCTACTTCCTCTGTGCAACCAAAATAGAGGATCTAAGCAGTGAGTGTTTTGGTTTGTGGTGATTTTACATATTGTATCATGTGTTAACAAACAATATATTTTGCATGGTGTCATCCACTGGCATATTTTTTTTTAGAAACAAAGAGTTAAAATCAATTAGAACAATAAAATGTTAGTCTAGCCTACATAAAGAACTTTGTATTGCAATCAAGTGCACAGCTTTAATGTAGGCTGACTACAGCCTACTTATTTCATACTTTTAGTCAGTTGCTTTAAAGTTTCTTGGCAAATGACGAATCTGGAAATCCTCTTTGAAAAATGTTTGCCTATAAAGTGGCTAAATGTAGGCCTACCTCCATTAACAGTCTTGCTGTTATATGTCTGTTTTATAGGCTATAAGATAAGTTTGTGAGTACAGTCAAGGAATTATAGCCTATTTAAATAATCTAAAGAAAAATATGCCTTTGCTGACTGACATTTTATACATATTGTATACAGCATATTTTGCATTCAATACATTTTACATCTAAAAGAGTTGATTGACCTAGAGCTCACTACAAACTATTTTGTGAAAGACCCAAACAATTGGGTATGTTTGATTTTTAGATTTACCTGGTGTGTATTTTTCATCAATTGCTTTTTGGTTGTTATAAATTGAAAAAGTGGGCTAAAAATTGCCATGTAATTACCCAGGGTCCAATCAAGGTAACAGTGCTTGAACATGTCGACACGTAAAATAAAACATGTATGAGACTGTACTCCTCCAAGTGGTTGGCCTGGGTCCATTCTCCTTAAAATTCTTTCCCATAAAGACTAAAAAGGTTTTCAAAGAATACAGATCTCTGACTGAGCAACCTAACTACTATTGATGAAATGGCCATCACTAAATGCTTCAAAAAATCAGTATAAGTAACAGGATTATGTTGTATAAACCCACTTTGAATTCCTGTTCAGAATAGCATCACATGGAGTAGATTGCAGGACTTTGAAACACAACCAAAGATGCACTTTTTTAAAAAATGTTTTATTTCTCTCCTCTCCTCTGCAGATTTTACTTCATATTTCATCTTACTGTGTGTGGTGGTAAAGTAATACTAATATTTATGGTTTTACTGTAACACTTAACCTTACTGGAAACTGGGTAACTATGTTGTATGGTGTCAATTAGAAATGAAACAGTCTTCAGAAGTTTGTCCAATTCAATGCTCAAGTGAAAATGACTACAACAAAAGAAACATAAACCAAAAAAAAATGCGGCTCAAATGTTTATATTTGAGGATTTTTCCCCCTTCTTCTCCGTCCGTCAATTTTCTATAAACTCTGTAAAACTCTATAAACTTCTTTGGAAAGTGGAATTATTCAGTGACACTCAAGCTATAGATATGTACAAAGCACAATAAACAAGCAGATGCAAGCTCTACATATTCCACGTCATACAGACTTTCTACTGAAGCATTATAATATCAACACAGTACAGCAGGTGCAATTCAGTGCATTTTGATGTAATCAAAATTACATGTTTGGAAGGAAATATTGACAGAAAACCTCCCACTCCATTACTTAATACACTGAAAATGAAATAATTGTGATAATCCTCTGTAGCACCAAGGAACATCACACTGCTAAAAACAAACCGAAGTGATCAGGGCATAGAAAATCAGCAACAAATCTCAGTATTCATAGTTCTCTTTTGTCTCGAGAATATCTCTCCACCCCGTTCGTTACATGTACGGGATGTGATCCCTTGCTTGTCAGAGTCCGTGGATATTTCTTCAAGACACACCGGCTTACCCGGTCACGCCCCCCAGCTCATCTATAAAGCACCTGTGCTGGCGTGCAATCAGTGATAGTTTGATCCGAACGTGTCTCCGAGCAGCCTAGAGGCTGGAGAGAGAGTTTCTCTGCTCAGAGAACCAAGGTTCAGCTGTAAACACAACCCCTGGTAAATAACACCTTCAAAATAATGACCTGTATGCAGTAGGAGACCTGAATTTAATTTCATAACTATTCATGCAAAAATAACAGTGATTCATGACATGATCCTATTCATAAATAGTTAAAAGAACTCTTTAAACCACATGAAAACATCATGTAAGTGTTTTTTTTTCGAAAAGAATATTTGTATATGTATCACAAATAGGACCTTCCTGTTGATCGTTTCTATCCCCCACACTCATTAATATTTCATAAAAATGATGCTCCCCTTTGGGAATAAAGTATCATACTAATAAAAACTGACAACGAGGATGTGGACAGCTTTTGTACGATTGTTCTGATAATGAAACGTCTCCATCATTCATTATCTTGAGTGATTTTATGATAATCTTTGATAAAAAAAAAAAATCGATGATTTGAAAGCTGCTCATAACAGACACATTTAAGCAGGAGCATTTGCTCTACTGGCCTTGAGTAATAAATCCATCACTTTCTCTGCTTTGGCCTTTTTGTTACTCTGATTGAGCATTTCTATCAACCTGTTGGAGGCCTCCCTGCCCTCTCTTTCCACCCAGATCAACAGTAGTTTGCATGTCTGCTCTCCACTGTCACCCGGGTGGTCCAGCTGACAGTTTTCAATAGTTGGGGTCGGCACTTGGCTACGAATTGCTAATTCCTTCATATCCTTCCATCCGATTTCTGTTGCAATGTCAGGGATGAGAGGCTGGAGATCCACAACTGGAACTAAAGAGAAAGACGTTAAAAAAAATGAACTCATTTACTGTAACATTGCACAAGTTACACATGCCACTTTGAAATGTGTGAAGCAGCTTTTTTTATTCTTATGGATGACACACACAGGGTGGAAAGAGCAATGTTTCAACTGGACAGACAAGTCAAATTAAGACAGAAAGTAAGCAGGGCTGTCCCTGAATGATACTTTTGTAATGAATCAGAGTTGGCTTTTCTCTATGAAGCAATTTGTTTTTGTTTTCCCAGTTCAGTTCCACAACAATCTGTTTCCCAACTATATACTAAATATTTTACTTCTTTTAATTTGATTTGACTTTGTTAAACTTTTCTCTTTATGAATGTCTATAAGCAAGTTTGTTTATTGAAAGTGAATTTTGAATGTTGGATATGAAGTAGAGGTGGGCGATATGGGAAAAATATCATATCACGATTTTTTTGGGGCAAAATCACTATCACGATTTTGTCACGATTTTGTCACGATTTTTTTCATACTGTTCTTTAGACAAATTTGTAAGTTACTGACCAGTTCAACCAAACTTATTTCCCTGTATAATGTTTTTAAATGCACAAAAACTGTGCTGACAAGTTTAATCTATTTGAAAAACATCTTTGTAGGAGGTCTGGAGGTCTCTCATCTCATCTTTAGCAACAGAAATGTCTTGTCCCTCGATTTGATCAATATTTATGCACAATTTGAAGGTTTTCCTCACCACTTTGAAATTATGATTTAGTTATGTGTCCTCTTTTTATGTTTATCAGGAACATTTTCACGCAGTGATGCATTCATTTAAAAACATGTAGACTTCAAGTTCTTGTGTTTCTGTTCTATTTTAGCCCTGCAGAGTTCCTCCAGCTGGAGCTTCAAACAGGCTCTGCAGCCTTTGTTGTTTTTATGACATCATTGGACTAATTTTAGTTTGGTTTATATATAATCAAACATAATACAGAATGTGTTCATTCTGTGACACATGATCAAAGTAAGTTTTACTGACAGAAGAGTTTAATTCATAGAGAGGGCGGGACATCGTTGATTGACAGACAGACAGTCACCATGGTTACTCACGCTCACCTGCCTGCTGCAAACTGCACACAACGTGTAACGTCATTTAGGGTAACCCTATAAATTCGGTAATCACAACAGGTGAGCTTTGGGTGGAGAGGCTTGATAATAACTTTTAAAAACTAAGAGAGCAGAAAACACAGACAGCAACATTTTAAACACCGGGGTTATATCTCTCATCACTGACTGTCTGAGCTCCACTCTGTCTGACTCTGACTGTTAACGTCTCTCCGTGTCGCTATCTGAGATGTAGGCTAATCTTAACTGTGCACACTATGCAGAAAAATTAACTGTTGCTCACAGCGTGTCGGTTTGGAAAAATATCACAACAGTTGCATATAACTGGGATGGAGTTGTTTTAGCGGACTTTACTTTTTAGTTTCGTTTTCACCGCTGCGGAGCAAAAGAGAGGGAGACGCGTCTGTGTCAGAGCATAAACTGCAGCATGATAGAACAAACACATGAGCCCGGTTATATGATCTCTCTGCTTTGGCAGATCGTCAGCAAGTTAAAATCCTTCATGATCTAAGATCGTTATATCGCCCACCACTAATATGAAGTGTCATTGTGTCTTCATTATTTTAATATTAGACATTTGAAGGACATTTTGCCATATTGTATGTAGTAAATCAATTCTTAATTCTAAAACAGGACATATTATATCCCTTTTCTACCTTTTCAAATAGTCCCCCGTGGTCTAAATGAAACATCTGTGCTGTGCTTCGATTCATATAATGTGAATCAAGCACCAGAGGTTTGTGACCCTGTATAAACCAGCTCTCCCAGAGTGCTCCATTTTGGTGCGTGTGTCTCTTTAAATGGAATTAACCCCCCCCCGAGTTTTTCCGGTAGACATCACTCCTCTATAGCGAGATTAAAAATGGGCAAAAGTTTTGTTCTAGGCTGGGGGTGGAGTCCATGGGTGGAGATATCAGGGGAGGGGATTTTTTTATCCAGAATCCCACAGTGACATCACAAGGAGAGCAAATTTGAAACGGAGCATTTTTCTCTGTCTTGTAAGACTTATGCAGACCACAAACAAAGGACTGGATGGATTTATTTCACATTGTGTGGGTCGGTAGACACTCAGGTTACCCAAATATATGCTCACAAACACTGTAAAAGTGGATTTTTCGTAACATGTCCCCTTTAAGTTAAAGCCTCAGAAAATCACATCGACCTCTGATCATTCAAAATCATCTTATCCTTCCCCAAGCGGATATTTTTTTAA